GAGGGGGTATAAAGCCTAAAAATATGTTTATAAGTGGGACAATCTTCACCTTACAAGTCGGTTTTGTAGGGATGTGAGTTAGGCCCAAACCCACACATTCTAAAAATGTTTTTTTCTTGATTTAGGATTGAGTCTATGTATCCTATAAATATGAATTAGTTTAGTCTTTTGTATCAATTCAATAGCTATTACCAATAATTTCTAATCTGAGTGATATTTTTAAAAAAAAATCTTATCGCATTTAATAATATCTTATGTTATGCCGTTTTTATTCGAATACGTTAACGGTTTTACTTTAGAATTGATTTAAATATGAACACCTCTAACCTACTTGGTGATTACAATCAAATTTACAACTAAATCCCTCGATTATAAGAATAAAACCAACAATCCTAATCATAGAGATATTTATTCAACAAACTATAATTTAAACCTAATACCTATCTTAACAATAATGAACCAAATAAGATACTTGCAATGGTTCTATCCATATTACGCGGCATACTTCATTTTTGACAAGTTTGTTTCTCTTACTGATGAGTGATGACTAATGGCTCCTACCAGGAGCTCAAATGCTTGTTGAAATATTTTAAAAAACAAGTGAATGATGTTTTCACGAGATATTTCATTGCATGGAAGATTTCAAGTAAAAAACGGAATGAAATACCTCTTCTGGTTGCTTGTTTTTGTAGAAAAACAAAGCAGTATTAAAGAGACAGTTAATTATGTATTTTAACCCATCTGTATCAATCCACTTGCTAGCAATGACATGCTTAATCAATTGCTTGCTTTCCTGAAATAGACGCAAAGAACATTAGTTTTTTTAAGACCTGGCTTAATAGCTTTCTGCAAACATTTAAAAATTCAATAAGATATTTTTGGTGGGAAAAATATTATAGCAGAAAATTAGAAAACAATAACACGTAAACGGCACTTCATTATACTAAGGAGAACCTGGAGTTTACGATTAGTTCTGATGGAAAGAGTGAAAGCTGCCAATGTAAAGCAGGGCATTGTTCTACTCTTTTCGGCAAATCCATCATCATCCTTTTCAAATGTAAAACTGCGGCAAGAAAGAAGTGGAATTTAGATATTTATCATCACAAATAGAACAAGATGAAAATTAACAGAAGGTATAATCTTTCAAACTTGTTGAGATATCTTATAAATAAACAGTAGGAAAAATAATATGTTCTTAGAAACTACTCAAGAGTTAATGTGACGGGTGAAATTTATAATATAAAAGATAGCAAATCCAAATATAAGACAAATGACAAGAGGAATGGACACTATTTTCTTCCATAAAATCAACATAATAGCCGATAAAGAATCAAATAGTAAGGCATATAAGCTGATCATGAAAAACTCTACTTCACCGAAATAATTTGGATATTGACAGAGTATACCTTGGACTATAAAGAATAAATTGACAAAGGGCATGAAATGCATCTTCAACGGTGGAAAGCATAGTCATAGTAGAAGCATCAATCTTTTCAGTAAGTAGCTGTTTCCTTTCTGAATTTACTGATTTAGCAAGCGGTAGGCATAGAAAGTTCAACGCCTCTACATAAAATGATTGGTAAGTCGTAACATCCTCGCAATCAGAAGCTGACTGTGTACATGTGTGGCCATCAAACTGTTGGTCTTCAACACTAGATGACATACAACTACTTCTGCTGCAAATATGAAAGGAACCGAGCAAAGGTGGTGAACTTTGTAGTATTTTCTTATTTTCAAGTAAAGTTCCCAGAAAACATTCAAATTTTGGGGTGCCGGAGGATACAAGACCTTCAGCTCCAGACTTCAACTTAGACTTCAACTTACAGCTAACAAGGAGCAACCCAGCAGCATAAAGCCTCAGTATTGAATTAAGGGGTTTCATAAACTGCCAAAGTTCCAAATTACTTCAATTAAAGCAGAATACAAAAGGTTGAAACAGCTGCACAAATAAAAACTACAAAAAGGAACATTGACTAAAAAACCTGTTTATAATGTTCTGCTGTTTTGTTCAAATATGTTGCAAACGTGTGACAAAAACTTGCATTTGCAGTCTGGCATTTAAGGACACAATAGTATACAAGTTCAATAAACTCGATTCCGGCATTTTCCTCGTCAACCTGGAAGGATACATATAGTCGATTAATATAAAAATCAAGAAATCCAACAAGAAAGTGGTTCGTAGACAAAAAGAAACTTGTCAAATGAACAAAATCAGCTTGTAACTCTTTGAAGTAATACTTGTAATTCTTCTAAGTAAGAGTAGTGCAATAACAATAAAAACTCACACACTGGGTGGTAGCTTAAATGGCGATACGATGGATAGGGCATAATAGCTAGGCCAGGTAGCTTTGTATGATTAGCACAAGTGCTCTTACAACTTGAACTTAACGGCATTCAATTGAATGGAATTAAAAACAAAATGCATCACTAGATAAGCAAATTTTGATCCAAAATCACCGAGTTCTAGAGATAGAATTTCATACACATTCTTACCTTGTTTTCACAAGCAAAACAATCCAGTATATCCATGATATACAACAATTTATTCTCACCCAGCATGAAAAGTATGGAGCACATCTTTTGGGCAATCTGCATTTAAAATTTCATCTGCATGGTTAATGAAAAGTTTATTGAATAACATAACTGAAAGTAAATAATTAGCTTACCTTGAACAATTGATCTTTAAATGAAGATTTTGCATACTCTATCAATGCTGTTCGGCACAAAGTGATCACCAAGTCTTTATCAGAGAAAGATGCCTTCTCGAGGAAATTTAAAGCACATTTACCCAAGTGATATGCTAAGGCCTTGTGAAATTTCTCATATGAATTGGAATCCAATCCCCTGGAACAGTAAGTTGTATAAGCATTAAGCACGACATTGAATAGCCTTGTGAAATTAAGTGGAAGTGAAAGCAAGCAAAAACTAAAAACATTGACCTACCTAAGCCATGGCCTTACTTCATCCATCAAATGAAGCACCCTTCTGAAGTAGCCATCATCTTTAATAGAAGCCATTGATGCACACTTGACTAAACTCACAACAATATCAACAACCAACGAGGATAAATCTTTATCAACTACACCACCTTTGTCAATTTCAGGAAGAATCTTCTTCCCCTTGCTTTTCACTTCATGAAGCCTCTCTAAAAGCTTAAACCCCTCAGCTTCAGCCTCATGGAACCGACTACAAGACTCATAGCAACGTATCAGCCGAAGTCTCAGGAAATGGATAGTTAAGGGTTTGGAATCCAATTGCGAACACACGGCTTCTAAACAATTCAAACAGAGAATATAAACTTGGAACAACTCACGGATTAAGACCTCGTTTGAATTTGAAACCTCTGGAATACGTTTGGGGAGAATCGATAACGAGCTGTTGATGAATGGTACAAAACGTTTCGCTAGTGTTCGAATTAGGGTTTTGTCATTCTCAGAAGCCTTACTATCGGAAAAAGGACGGAGGTAATCGGAGACTAGGGCGTAGATACCTGGAGAATCGGAGGTTTTCAGCTTGGAGACGAGAGAGGCTTCGATCGGAGAAGCCATGGAGAGAGAGAGAGAGAGAGAGAGAGAGAGAGAGAGAGAGAGAGAGAGAGAGAGAGAGTAAATGCGATTTATGAAGTGGTGAGATGAGAATTAGAAAATGGAAGTGTGTGAGAGTGAGCTTAGTTTTGAAGGCGCCAATACACTTCCTTTTCAGTTTGCAATTTTATTTCAAAAAAATTCAAGATGAATACAACGGTATATTTAACCTGGCACAGAGAAAAATATTCTTAACCATTATATCTTTTTTAACTATAAAATAAAATTGTTTGGTTAATTTGCAATTCTAAATTATAGTTTTTAATTTTTTTTAAATGTTTTAATTTATTTTATTATTTTTTATTATTTATGTATGGTTTTTTAAGACAGTAATTTAGTCAAACTTTAAAAAAATATCGATATAAAATAGAATTATTTATTTAATCAATATCCCTTTAGTCAAACATATATAACTTATTTATTTGTATAATCATAGTTTTTGAAACGAAATTATTTATTTTGTAGGACTATTGAATTTTGAAAAAATTAAATAAAATTATTCAATTATTTATTTAATTTATTAGTATTTTTTGCTAACTTATATGTTTTTAAAAATTAAAATGTTATTTTAAAAATTAAAATGTTATTTTAAAAATTATGTGTCGTACGTCTGTACTTTTTATTTAAATATGATATCTTATTAAGAAGTATTACCAAAAATATAATATGGTTTTTTAGATGTAAAAATATAATATATAAAATAAGTAGTGTATCATCTATCATATCTATCATAGAAGAAAAAAAATAGATTTTGAAAAATACTCTTTTAACTTTCTTTTTCGTCGGATTCTTTTTTATAGGCAATTTATGTTTAATCTAACTATTTGTCAACGATTTGCATGTTCTGAATTGAAAATAGAATTTTTTTTTAAAATAGCAATGTTATAATTGTTATTTACCAAACAAATTATACTTTCAAAAAAAATACCAAAATGGCAATGTTTGAAAATTGTTCAACTGACGTTCGCCAATTCGTTTGGCGAATTAGGCCAACAGCAACATAAGCAATTCGCCATTTGGTTTGGCGAAAGGGTGTTAGTTGTGGGATTTCGCCCATTGAATTGGCGAATGAGGTTTATTTTAGGGTTTCTTTCGTTTTCAATTTCCTTTTAATTATGATATAACATATTTTCGTTTTCATATCTTAAAATTTAATTGTTTTTTAATTTTAATTATTATTATTATTAACCATAAAATATATTAATTTATAATATATTAATTTATAATCTAATGAATATATTAATTTGTAATATTAATTCATAAAATATATTAATTTATAATCTAATGAATATTAATATAATTAAAATATATTCGTAAGCATAAAGTGATAATAAAATGAAATTATATTAATTTATAATGTAATTAAAAATACACGAACAAAAATATAAATATAATGAAAATTACAAAAAAAAAAACTTAATGATCGGCTCTATCCAAGTGACCACCGGTGCCACGTTGGGGGGGACGCGTGTTGCGACGAGGTCTTCGACGATGTTGTTGTGGTGTGTCAGGATGTTGTGTGTTGAGTTGTGGTGGAGGGTTCTGTTGGGACGGCCCCGGCGTATCAGCTAGATCTTGCATCATTTGACCCCAATAGCCGGGAGGTCCCATGTCACATGCACTTCCGTAGTCAAGGGCAATGCCCATGTTTTGGTACGATTGTCGGGGAGGGTGGGTGGAGTATGGACGGTATGGTTGTCCGAAAGTGTACATGGAGTTGGGTTGGTCTAGGTGTGTTGGTTGTTGTGGTGTGTGGTAGTTAAATAATGGGTGGTTGGAGGTGTAGTTGGAGGGGGTAGGGTCGAATGAGTTGTTCGGGATATAGGTGGCAGGGGTAGGATCAAAAGACATATCAGGGTTGTACTGGTGAGATGGTTGAGGCTGAGATTGGATTGGTGGCATGTAAGGTGGTTGTTGTTGATAGGGGTATATGTTGGCATGGAGTGGGGGGTGTCTTCGTATGGTGGTTGTTGTTGATGGTCTTCGTATGGTGGTTGTTGTTGATGGTCTTCGTATGGTGGTTGTTGTTGATGGGGGGTGTCTGTTGGTATTTGTGGGTATGATGAAGAACCGCGTTCCCTTGGATCGGCCAAATAGGTTGGCTGGGACAGGAAAGGCTGGGTTGTCGTGACAGAACTAAACCAAGTCATATATTGAAGACTTGGCCTAGCCTCGTGCACAATACTGTCGGTTAAGACGTATTGCCTTCTGCTTTTCCAAAGTACACGCAGCTCCTTTGCAAACTCCTTCCAATCACCAATCATCCATTGTGCGTCTACCCGTTTTTGATGCCACTTCCCCAAGTCTACGGGAGCATCTGGAATATCTTGATGCATCCCAAATTGGAGTTTGACCCGATCACTTTGGTGCATCTCCACCGTAGTGAACCTAATTATAGGTGTCTTTGTTGTCCACACAGCGACATCGTCGGGGTTGGGCTGGTGGTCGAGACCCTCGTACGGCATCCAGACAAACTACAATATAGTTGTAAAATTAAGTTAGACAGGATGTCTGAAGTTTATGCATATACATTAAAGAAAATTAGGGTAAATAGCTTACATCGTTTGGCCCAAGGTGGTCGATTAGGTTGCGGTATTGAATTATAGAGTGCCTTGGACATTTCTCATAATTCATCTCGGGTACAGACCACCTAAAAAAATAAACACAAGTTAGAAATTATTAACTAAAATAGAATACGTAGCTGGCAAATAATGTTGAAAAGATACTTACTTTTTTGCGTAGGGGAACGTAAAAGAATTTCTGTTTATTGGAGCAAGCAATGGCATCCTCGACCAACCCCAAGCTTGCAAAAGATAGGCACAACCATAAAAAGTACAAGAATTTTTTTGGACGTCTTACAAAGTGCGCTATATAGATGGGCGAGGACTGCTGATCCCCAGCTATATTCACACACTTTGTTGATATTACGCAATAATGGTAAATACATAGTATGAATTGTATTTCCAGTGTCGTCTGGAAATAAAAAGTGGCCAAATAAAATCATAATATAGCACCGAGTTTTTTGTATTTTCTCATACTCGGTGCTCTCATCCGTTAAAACAATACCGTTGTATTGTTCTCTCAGGTATTTTAAGTTAATACCCTGACCCCTCGGGCGGCCCTTGCTTCCTGCCTGAGGTTCGTCCTCACAAAGAGGGGCGCCCAATAAATCTTCACAAAGTTGGTCAGGGACACCAACTTTGTCGTTGACGGCCTTACCATCAATGTGTAGGCCGAGCAACATATAAACGTCCTGGAGAGTCACCGTACACTCACCACAAGGAAGGTGAAATGTACGTGTCTCCGGTCTCCAGCGTTCTAACAACGCTAGAATAAATTTTGCGTCAAGGGAATAAGATTTGATTTCGATCACACGCCCAAACCCACAATGTATAAGATAGTTTGTAATGAGGGGGTCGTGTGGTATGTAGTCATGCACACGGCACCGAAACCTTGATACATCCTGCAAAATAATGAAGTAAAATTACTATAGTGTTTTAGACAAAATTACTATAGTTTTTTTTGGACAAAATGGTAAGACATTGACATGAACTAAAGGACTTACAAACTCGGCGATGTTTTCAGCCGTCCCTCTATGAGAATCACCCATGGTTAGTACAGACATTGTCGAGGGTTGGGAGTTTGAAAGTTTAAGAGTTTCAGACTTTGGGAGGTTGCGAGTTTGAGAGTAGGAGAGTAAGAGAGTATGAGACTTTAAGTGTGAGTAGAATTTGATGGGTAAATACCCCATATTTATATTCCAAGAGTGGATATGTTTTAAGTGCATGCTTGAAACTTGTGATGAGATATGTGTTGTGTGAGTGCATGCTGAGCACTTGGCGTGACATATGTGTTGTGTGGGTGCATGCTGAGCACTTGGCGTGACATATGTGTTGTGTGGGTGCATGCTGAGCACTTGGCGTGACATATGTGTGGTGTGAGTGCAGATTCCTTTAGTGTAGCGTCTAATCAAACAGGCTACAAGGCATTTATTGTAATGCAGTGTCCAGTCTAATGTATGAAAGCAGATGCTCGTAGGCCTGCATGGTCAATGTAGGGATGCAGATCACATGTGAAAAAAGGAGATTCCTTCAGTGTAGCGTCTAATCATACAGTGGTTCATTCATTGCATAGTGTGACTATTTATTCAGCATTTTGTATAATATTTTTATTCATCGTAATGTGATTTATTTCATCAGTGTAGTATTATTTATTTCATCATACTATTTTATTTCATCATACTATTTTCCATATTATAATTCAGTGTAGTATTATTTATTTCATCATACTATTTTATTTCATCATACCATTTTCCATATTATACTTCAGTGTAGTATTATTTATTTCATCATACTATTTTCCATAGTATACTTTGTTCATATTATGGAGCATGCGTGATAAATGAACATCACATGTAAATGCGGAACTTTGCATTGTCACTTCATATCAAGTTTGTGGTTCACGTTATTGATTATGGAGCATGCGCCATAAATGTAAGGCAGACAGAGATTCCTGACTTGCACATCACATGTAAATGCAGAACTTTGCAGTGTCAATTCATATCAACTCTGTGGTTCACGTTATTGATTAAGGAGCATGCGTGGTAAATGAAAGGCAGAACTTTATTGATACATGCAAAAACACTAAGCCCATTTTATAAAGCCTTTATCAAACACACTCAAAGACTCAAACATTCAGAAGCACTAAGGTCATTATATAAAGCCTTTATGAAACACCCTCAAAGACTCAAACATTCAGAAGCACTAAGGCCATTATATAAAGCCTTTATCAAACACACTCAAAGACTGAAACACACTCAAACACTAAAACGTTGTTACACCCCGTTATTCAGACACCATAATTTCCACAATGTCTCAAACACCACAACACATGATTGCCGCTCATATGAATGGTGAAGCTTTCGAATGTGAGGATTCGGGATACACTTTCAGAAACACGGAGGTTACAAGATTTTTAATTGACAGAAGGTCTAATTTTTTACACCTGAAGTCAAGAATCGAAAAAAAACTGCAGTGCGGTCCAGTTGGACAAATAGTATACAAAAACCCAGTATTCTTTGGCGGACTTGATTCGTGCAAATTTTTTCCTTTAAAGGTGCGAGATGATGAAGACGTGCGTAACATGTTCCGCACTCACGAGTATTCAGGGTTCTCAGAAATCATGGTATACGTTACGTTACAACAGCAACAACTGTCTCAGCAACTTGATTCGTCACAAGTTTTTTGCGATTCTGAAGATGAACACCCCGAAGTCAATGTCGTGGACGAAGAAGAAGAAGCAACTGAAGTCATTGTTGACGAGATGGTGAACAATCCTGAGGTTGAAGTTCAACTTGAGCATGTCTATTGTCCACCAAATCACATGACTGATATCACCTTAGTTGATGATGAACCCCCGACAGATGTTTTCTACATCCCCAACTACACAACACGGGGCCAACTTAAAGAGGGCGACGAGTTTCATACGAAACAAGATTGTGTCCAGGCTATCAAACAGTTTCACATGGAATTGTCAGCCGATTACAGGGTTGATCACTCAAATCCAACGCGGTATATGATCTATTGCCGTAACGAGGAGTGCCCGTTCAAATTAACAGCATCTTTCAGGAAGAGAAGCGATTCCTGGAAGATAGGGTCAATGGGTCCGTCCCACAGCTGTATCATCTCGAATCCGATGCAAGACCATAGCAAACTAAACTCTAAGTTGATTTGTGATGAGATTCTATCAGTCGTCAGCGACAACCCATCTTTGAAGGTGAGTACCATGATTGCGCATATGGTACAAAGGTACAACTACACTCCTTCGTACCGAAAAGCCTGGATAGCCAGGAATAAAACTGTTGAAATGGTGTTTGGAAATTGGGAGGAGTCATACAAGGAACTTCCTAAATTCCTAGTAGCCCTTAAACACTACTCTCCAGGAACTGTTGCGATATTGGAGACGTTGCCTGCTTGTACACCAGACGGGAGTTATGTTGCTGGCAATGGAATTTTCCACAGAGTCTTTTGGGCATTCGAACCATGCATCAAAGGGTTTGCATTTTGTAAACCTATAATTCAGATTGACGGAACCTGGCTTTACAGGAAATATAAGGGCACACTTCTGATGGCTGTGGCACAAGACGAGAACAACAACATTTTCCCGATAGCCTTCGCCATAGTTGAAGGGGAGACTGCTGGGGGTTGGAGTTTTTTCTTAAAAAACCTACGGTCATACGTGTCTCCCCAACCTAACTTATGTTTGATCTCCGATCGACACCCATCCATCGAGAGTGCTTACAACAACCATGACAACGGTTGGCAGGATCCTCCATCGACCCACGTCTACTGCATAAGGCATATTGCCCAAAATTTCATGAGGGAGATCAAAGACAGGACGCTACGGAAGAAGGTTGTGAACGCGGGGTATGCACTAACTGAACCAACATTCAGATACTACCGTGATGAGATTAGACTGAACAACACATATGCATTAAGATGGATTGACGGCATTGATAGGGAGAAATGGACGCGAGCATACGACAATGTGGTGCGATAGGGCCACATGACAACCAACCTCGTCGAGTCAATGAATTCTGTTTTCAAGGGAATTCGAAACCTCCCAATAACTGCGTTGGTAAAGGCAACCTATTTTAGGATGGGATCACTTTTTGATAGCAGGCGTGCGAAGTGGGGTTCGGTATTACAATCGGG